TAGCGTGAACAACCTAAATGTGTTTAATGATATTTTCGGTCTCTGTTTTCTTTTCATTTACAACCTTTACCTTTCATTCTTATTTCACTTTGGCCAGCCAATTAATACCATGTTCTGACCGACATCGAAAACATGATTTCGTTGGTAAAACTGGTTTTCGACCTAAAACTTGTGTTTTCGTCCATGCAAAATCTGTCAAACGAAAACCAGTTTTCGCTGAAAACTAATTGAAAACTCACGTTCCACTCATTCCAGTCGGTGTTACGCCATTTCGATTGTATTGTTAATTGGCTGGCCAAAGTAAAATAAGAATGAAACTAAAAGGTTGCTAATGAAAACAAAATTAAGGAAAAGTATTTTGGTGTTATTTTGTCTAGCAAAACTGTAATCAAAGGATGTAAGCAATGTCAACGAAAACACTAACAACCGGTGTGAACAGCCTGCAGCCCACAATCCCAAAACTCGTTTTCAAATTGTGTTCGTTGTCGGTCATAACAGGCTAACCTAATATTCACGCACGCCGCCAATTTACTGTCAAAAATTTCTCATGCACATACAACTTGTATGGGACCAACCGAAATTGAACGGCGTGCGTATGAAGCTAACTAAATTTCCCATTTTTGTTCTGGGTGACATTTTGGTTTGACGTTTCGCTCAATGAAGTCAAATGCAAACGCACGCAAGCCAATTTCGGATGACGCAAAAAAACTAATCCGACTGCGTGCATACCAAAACGCAAGCCGCGAATATTAGGTTAGCCTGTAACATGGTATAATAATAAATCCGAAATGGCATATTAAAGATGATAAAATATGACTTCCACATCGATAGATAATCGAAAAAAACTAGTGAAGACACCGATTGGAATGAGTGGAACGTGAGTTTTCAAGTAGTTTTCAGCGAAAACTGGTTTTCGTTTGACAGATTTTACATGGACGAAAACACAAGTTTTAGGTCGAAAACCAGCTTTAGCAACGAAAACGTGTTTTCAATGTCGGTCAAAACATGGCATTAAAGTTTTTGGATTCGGGTTATGCGTTTGGACACAACAACAGAAAATCGTTGTACAAATAACTAAACCGGACCCAAGTTTCTCGATAAGGGGCAACGTTCGTTTATATAAAGCAGTGGATAAAAATATACGTGTGTGCGAAAGGCAAATTTATCTGTTTAAAAGAAAACCACTAATATTTCCTACAAACACACATTGATTTACATCTTTTATCTCGCCTCCGACACAGAATTGGTTTACGAATGTTTTTGAAACTAATTTGTGAAAAGAGTGATCAAATCTCTATTCACTTTGAGTAAAAACTTTCGAAATTTCAATCCGTAAATTCTCTCAAGGTTTTGCCTTTTTGCGAAGGCAGCTCATCAATGGTCTTTGCGAATCGGCGGAAGTGTCTTTGTAACACAGCCATGGCTACGCTACAGGAGATGAAATATAAACCAAACTGAGGCTGCTATTTTTTCTGCTATCACATACTTCCATTTTCACTATTTATCACAATTAAAAATGGACTATTTATCACCAAAAAATTTAGGCTAAGCTATTTTTAGCGAAAGGGAGGACAGAACAGCAATTTTTGGAGATAGCTAAAATTTCGGAAAAATATTAGCTGTCGTATTTTAGCATTTTAGCGATAGCGAAAGTTAGAATCCGGCTGCTGGTCGACACAGTTGGCTTTTTGATTTCGAAAAGAGCTTCATCAGCAAGAAATATCATCAGATCTAAATATTTTAGCATCCTTGTTGCTCATAATTGTTTCCATAATTTTGGTCTTTCTTTGATAAATAATTGCAAAAAAGACGCCTTTTTTCTTCTAAGTTTCTTGGAACTTTCGCAAATATCAACAGCATTCAATTTGTTTCATAATTTTGGTCTTCCTTTGATAAATAATTGCAAAAAATACGCGTTTTTTCTTCTAAGTTTCTTGGAACTTTCGCAAATATCAACAGCACTCAATTTTTTTTCAACATGGTTGACAACCGAAAAAGCTTTTCTTTTTTCCAACATCCAATCAGCCAAACTTCAAACAACTCGCCTGTTGTAATAGCATGATAGCCCAGAAAAAACCCGTTTTTCTTGAAAACTCAAGTCAACTCATTTCATTTTAATTTATCCATTTCCTTTTTCATTTTGTTTTGTTTTCTATCTAAAATTTTCCTTTAATTATTCGAACTTTACAAAAAATTGCACTTGAAACTTAAAAAATAAACCGGTTGCGCAAACAACGTGTCAATAACGTTTTGAAAGTGTAACTTTGGTTGATTGCTGTCTCACGGTGTTTTTTATTTTATAAAAACAAAGTGAAGTTTCTGTTATTTTGGAGTATTCCCTACAGAATGGCAACAAAAAATAATGTAAAATTGCCTTCACGAAATTGGACTTTCGCACAGTCAAATGAATCATTTGACCTAATGTGCGTTGTTAGGAATTTCGAAAGTTCGAAAATACGATTCGGATTTCAGCATACTATTTCTACGATTCGTAGCAAAATCCGAATACGAAAGAGTTGCAGAATAGGGGTGTTGTAATGGCACTACACGCGATGTGGTAACATCTTACATGGCAACACTTATGTTGCCCAAAACAATAAAATTACATCGCGTGTGTTGTCAACACTGCCGAGCTTACGATCCACATTCGTTCTAGAAGGTGTATCGTAGCTCGGCTTCCAGGAAGCCATTTTGACTCGATACTCGCCTTTCAACCTGACCGGTCATATAAGTACAATAAAATTTAATTAACGTTTGTGAAAAATTAAAACAAGTATTTTTATTTTTTCAAACCGAAAGTAGTACTCGCGTGTGTACACTATTTTTATTATAAACATAATTCACTGCTTTACCGTGGAAACTCGGAGTGTTGTAACTCCATGTGTAGTGCTGCTACCCATACCTGGCATAGCGGAGCCCCAGTTGGAACCGGAGCTGTAACCCGGCGTTTTAAAGGCGTTTCATTGCACGGTAGGAGGGAGCGCAACTGGGAGCGCAACATGGCGACCGTGATGCAGAGTCACGTAATCTGCTCCAAAATGAAAAAGTGCTAAAGGCACTGTAAAGTTGCTGGTGGTGGCCCCGGTTGGTGGGAAAAAACCCTAACATAATTTTTTTACATTAAACGGTGGAGTATGGTGCGCGAGGTACAGCATAAATTCTACGCAAACGGCACATTTTAAGAAAGTTCCAGCATTGTGCGCGATGTACAGCACATTTTTAAGTAACCAGCAAATTTTTAAAGAAAGTTCCAGAATTTCGTACGGTTTTCGGGTACAGCCGCGCCGCCAACCGCTATCTACATACATACACGTAGATATGTATGTATAACGGCTAACAACATCAAGCCACGCCACCACCATTATATATGTACATATGTATGCATAACGGCAAAACAACAGCAAGCCACGCCACTCGCAGCTAACGGAGTATACAAATATAACGGAGACGAAAGCCAAAAATACAGTAACCACATATGTAGCAACATTACTCGACAGATTTTTCCAACGGATTTTTGCATGGTACAGACTGCTGCGAGGGAGACATGCAGACGGGTGAAACTATTAGGCATACATATGTATACGTATATATATATTTTTATACATGAATCTTTTTTATTATAAATTCTTTCAATATAAAGTGGATAGCTTTTTAGATTTTTGTGCAAATTGGCATTTCTAGTTAAAACATAAAAATTGAATTTGAATTGATATTAAAACGAGGTTGTACTTCTGTACGTACATGTACCTCCATTTTGGTTTTGATAGCCTTAAGTGCTTTATTTGATTAACAAAAAATTTTGCGAATTTTTGATTGAACCATATACATACATATATATGTATTTCCATTTCTCCTTTTTAGCGCCAAGTGCCTCATTTGATTAAAAAAAATAAATAAAAAAAATAAAAATTTTCGAATTTATGATCGAAACATTTACATACATAAATGTACTTCTATTTCGCAATTTTGCTAGCACTAAGTGCTTCATTTGATTAACTAAATAAAGCAAACATTTTTTATTTTTTCTCGAAATTAAATTGACATAGTTGAACTAAAAGTTCTGAAGTGTATAAGCTTCTATTACTCCATTTTTCTAGGATTAAGTGATTTATCTGATTAACAAAAAAAAAAAAAAAAACTTGAAATTCAATCTATAAAACCAAATTAAAATTTGCGATTACGCACATATGTACTTTTCTTGCTATATTTTTCTAGCTTTAAGTGATTTATTTGATTAACAAAAAAATTTGTTGAAGTAATATTACAAAAGTTTCGTGGGTATGCACATACATACATACATACATACATATATGTATATGTACACCAACTTACCATTAAGGTAGTTCATTTGATTACATGAAATTTAAAGCCATCGACTAAAAATTTTAACTCCAAATAGAGCCTATAAATATTAAATATTGAACGAATATTTCCAACAACAACTTTTCAAAGAAATGAACTTTTTTAAAAATATATAAAAACTAAAATTTTCAAGTATCCACCTAGATATAAGTGACGCTTCTCAACATTACTAGCTTTAAGTGATTCAATACAGTTTTACTTTTCACCTTATTAACTATTACTAGATTTAAGTGACCCAATACAATTTTTTTGATCTTTTTCGATTACATCTATTTATTTGCTTTATCTTTTTTTAAAATACAACTTGCTGAATTTATCGGAAGTTGATTCAAAACCGTATACCGATGTACATGTGTTCGACCCCTATATATATCAAAATTTAAAACTTCTTTAAATACAAAAAAAAATTAAGCAAACAACTTCAAATCTTTTGCTTTGCATATGTGCTGCATGAAATTCCCCGATATCCCAACTGCATGAAAACCCCTTGTTGCATGCGATTTTTCAGCCGATGACCTACTGAAGAAAAACATAAGTATTTTTCATAATTCAATTTCTTTTTAATTTTTTTTATACAGGGTGAACGAAAGCTTGTTTTCGTACATGTTGGGTTTCCACTTCTTTGAGATTAGCCGGTTATGAGCGAATTCGTTAAACAATTTAAAGTATATAAAGCAGATTTTGATAAGATTACGAAACGCATTTTACAAAATAGACCGTTGTCTTCGAATGCGAAAAAATTTAACGAATACAAATATTCGCTCATCACAGCTTACAATAATATTTTATTACTAGTTATTGGTAATAGTTCGGCCCATACCTGTAATCTCAAAGAAGTCCAAGTTAAATTAGCTCGTTGCAAGGAACAGTTAGCAAAGTGCTTTAATAAACTGAATTGTCGCGTTAGGATTCCACCTGATAGCTTATCGCTAATTTGCCAATCAGACTTAGCTGACTCTGAGTCAGAAGAAGAATTTAGTGACGCCAAGTCAGAAGCTTCGGTACAATTCAGTCTTAAAAGAAGTACTTCACTTTCATCCTTTAAAGATCTGCTAACAATATCCGACGAGCCGTCAACAGCTACCAGTTCACCAAATATTTCTAAATTTTTTCAAGAATTTTTAGACATGGCTACCCCTGAACAGAAAAAATCGTTTATTAGTCTTTGTGCCTCAATCATTAGGGAAAATTACAACGGAGATCCGCTAGCACTTGAATCGTTTATAGACAAAAGTAATTTAATTGAAGATTTTGCAGACGAAAACTTAAATACGACTTTTATATCATTTTTGAAATCGAAACTCGAAGGCAAGGCACGTGAAGCAATTCCAACAGAAGTTAGTTCAGTTGGGCAAATAAAAGATGCGTTGAGAAATAGAATAAAGCCAGACACCTCGAAAGTTGTAGCTGGGAAAATTGCATCTTTACATGTCATAAACAACAATTATACGGAATTTGCTAAGCGTGTCGAGGAGCTTTCGGATGCTTTAGAGCGCTCTTTGATCATTGAAGGTATGACACAGTCTAAGGCTCATAAAATAGCAGTCGAGCAAACAGTAAACGTTTGTAGACTCAATACTCGGTCGGATTTGGTCAAATCAATTTTATCGTCAACTACCTTCAGTGATTCAAAGGACGTAGTAGCAAAAATGATAGTCGGACAAAATAATCAAGTGAAAGAGCGCCAAGTGTTAGCGTTTCGATCCCGAGTAAATAGGCCAAATAGCTTTAGAGGTAGTTTCAGAGGGTACAATTTTAATAGGTACAACAATAACAATTTCAGACAAAACAACTCAAATTTCAATAGGTACAATAATAACGCTGATAACAGTAGGTACAGCAACAATGGTTCAAGGCATTACGGTAACAATTTCAACAATAATAGGAATCGGTCATCAAACAACAATCGAAACAATAACAGCAACAATAATAGTAATAGACGTCCAAATTCACGCAGTAATGCTAATGTGCGCGCTTTAAACGCCCACGCCCCTCAGGAGCGAACACTGAGGGCGGAAAAAATGGACAACTAAATACTTCTTTTTCAACAAAAGGCATATACTGTCTAAATCTAAATTACTCTGATTTTATCGAATTGCGAATTAATGGTTCAAACAAATTTTGTACGTTTTTAGTCGACACGCAAGCCGACATTTCTTTAATAAAAATTTCTAGCATCGATAAACATTTTTCTATAAATACGAACGATATAATTAACATTACGGGCGTCACTTCAAACACCGTTTCAACTCTAGGTAAAATAACGACAAATCTGACTTTTTCGGACTTTTTTATAAAACATACATTACATGTGGTTAACGACGACTTTAATATTCTAGCAGACGGCATATTGGGTAAAGACTTTTTAAAATTCAATAAATGCGTTATCAGCTACGCAAGCAATTGCATTTCCTTCTGGGTGGGTAACAAACAAGTCGCGATTCCGATTCTTCACGGAACTGAAAGCGATACCTGCGTAATTCCACCCAGATGCGAAGTTTTTCGTCTTTTTAATTTAGGAAGTTCACCAGAACCACTTGTTGTGGAATCACAAGAAATCGATAGCGGTGTATTCACAGCACGATGTATAATTAGTACAAGCAACCCAATCGTCAAAGTCATAAATACCACAAACGATATAAAATACGTAAAGAACTGTAACATCCGGACTGAAAAACTTTCTAATTTCAATGTTTATTCTATAAATAAGACAAGAAACGACGACAACCGGACAAAAGAACTGATTAACGTTTTGAAAAAACAAATCCCTAGTTACGCTGAAAGCAAATTACTTAACTTGTGCGTAGATTACGCAGACATATTTGCACTTCCCGACGACAAAATGACGTTAAATAACTTTTACGAACAAAAACTACGTTTGACAGACAATAACCCAGTTTACATTAAAAATTACCGATTACCATATTCCCAGCGTGAAGAAATAAATCGCCAAGTTAACAAGTTATTAGAAAATGAATTAATCGAAGAAAGTTATTCGAATTATAATTGTCCTTTAATTGTCGTTCCAAAAAAAGATACTAATGGTAAAAAAGCATACCGTATGTGCGTAGACTTTCGCGCTGTTAACAAAAAATTGATTGCCGATAAGTTCCCTCTCGCTCGAGTTGACGACATTTTAGATAACCTCGGATGGGCGAAATATTTCTCAACCTTAGACCTTTTTTCAGGGTTTCATCAAATCCCTTTACATATTGATTCACGTGACGTTACCTCCTTCAGTACGGACCGTGGAGCATTCAGATGGAAAGTATTACCGTTTGGGTTAAATGTAGCACCAAATTCATTTTCGCGTATGATGACAATTGCTTTTTCCGGTATTTCGCCTAATGTGGCATTTCTTTACGTTGACGATATAATCGTTATTGGATGTAGTGAAGCACATCACATAAAAAATTTAGCGAAAGTTTTTGAGACTTGTCGAAACTTCAACCTAAAACTCAACCCTAATAAATGCAATTTCCTTCGGCCGGAAGTTACATTCCTAGGCCATAAATGCTCAGCCAAAGGTCTGTTGCCAGACGACACCAAAATAAACGCTGTTAAAAAATATACAAAACCGACTGATAAAGATGCGGTTCGACGTTTCGTCGCGTTTGCTAATTATTACAGGCGGTTTATACCAAATTTTGCGTCTCTGGCAGCGCTTTTAAATAAATTAGGCAGGAAAAAAGTTGAATTTACTTGGGATAGCGCGTGCGACAATGCTTTTGAATCGTTAAAATCAGCGTTAATTTCCCCAAAATTGCTTCAATACCCAGACTTCACAAAACGATTTATTATTACTGTCGATGCCTCGAAAGTGGGGTGCGGTGCTATATTAAGCCAAAACAATGACGGCAATGATTTGCCGATATGTTTCGCGTCAAAATCTTTCAATAAATCAGAACAGAATAAACCGATAATCGAACTTGAACTTTTAGCTATATATTTTGCGATCAAGCAGTTTCGACCGTATGTTTACGGCACTCACTTTACGGTGAAATCTGACCATCGACCCTTAGTTTATCTCTTTAACATGAAGGACCCGTCGTCAAAGCTTTCTAGAATACGCTTAGAACTGTCAGAATACGACTTTACAATTGAATATATAAAAGGAAAATCGAATGTAGGAGCGGACGCATTGTCACGGATTACAATGGACGAACTAAAAGACTCAACTAAACAAGTGCTAGCGGTAAAAACAAGATCAATGATGAATAGAACACAATTAAAGAACGATAGTGAATGCAATGACAATATTAAATTACAGGTTTATGACAAATTTTCATATGATTTCTCAAAGAAAATACGCCGGGTAAAAACAAATATAATATATGATAAAAATAATGAAATTTAAAATTTTCAAGTTTGTGCACATTTAAAACACAAAAAACTCGAGTTACTTAATTTTACGATTGTTAACGAAAAAACGAATTTCGATGAGTTACTTTCGCGGCTTGAAGTCGAAGCCAACAGTTGTAATATTAAGACGTTAGAATGGCCAAAAAATGATTTATTTTTCAAATATTTTACAATTACGAACTTAAAAGATCGCGGAAATAAAATTTTAAAGAACGTAGAAATTATATTGACGGATCCAGTCGAAACTGTGACCGACGACGAAAAGAAACACCAACTTATGACAATATACCATAACGACCCAATAAGTGGAGGACATTGTGGACTCAAAAGATTATATGCGAAAATCGGAACGAAATATTTTTGGAAAAATATGACCCGCGACATATCAAAATTTGTCAAGAATTGCGAGAAATGCTTACTAAACAAGCCAAAACCAAAAACAAAAGAAACCCTTGTTTTAACGCCAACACCTATCAACAGAATCAACAAGTGGTAACAAGTTCGCTGTTACTATGATTTGTGATCTGACAAAGTATCTGGTAACCGTTGCTGTCCCAGACAAAAGCGCCAAAACGATCGCCTCCGCTATTTTTGAAAGTCACATACTAGTATACGGCATAATAAATTCGATCAGATCAGATTTAGGAACGGAATATAAAAACGAAATATTTTCGGAACTAACAAAACTCTTGAAGATTGATCATAACTTTTCGACAGCACACCATCACGAAACAGTGGGCACTATTGAGCGAAATCATCGCGTTTTCAATGAATACTTACGTGCATACCTAAATGAGACTATTTCAGACTGGGACATTTGTCTTAAGTATTTCACCTTTTTGCATAATACTACTCCAAATTCTGTTTTTGACAATAAATTTACTCCATTCGAACTAGTTTTCGGAAAAACACCGACTTTACCGCAAGAATTGAAAAAGGAAAAAATTGATCTCATTTATAATGTTGAGAATTATGCAAAAGAGGTTAAGTACCGGATGCAAAAGTCACATGCAATAGCCAAAGAATTAATTATCAAACATAAAATCCGTAACAAGAATTTGTATGATAGACACTCTCGTCCAGTAGATATTAAAGAAAACGATCTCGTTCTAGTACAAAAAGAACCCCGAATTAAACATGAAAATATATATCAGGGTCCTCACGTTGTAACTAAAGTAGATGGTGTTAATATTACCATTTTCGATAAAGAAAAAGATAAAGTAAAAATAATCCACAAAAATAGAGTTCAAAAAGTTAGTTCAAACTTTCATCTCAACCAATTATTATTTCAACATATAACAACAACATGTGTATGAATTTCTCCAGTCAAGCAAACAAACAAAAAAAAATGTGTAAAATGAAATATTCACTAAATAGAAATTATTCACCAAATGAACACAATCCCTTCATTTATATAAACGCAATATTTTAAATACTACAGAAAAATGCTTTAAATGTACTTTCGTTTATTTATAAGAAATAAAATTGTAATAACTAAATTACAATACTTTAAACTACAAAAGAAACTGATATTTAAGACTACAAAATTTTTAATGAACAAATATTGTACTATAAAATACTTACAAATTAAACATTAAAATGTATAGTTAAATATTTCTGAAAACAAAAAAAAATTATTCAATATAAGACCAATTTAATTTTTTTTCCGATTCAAATTAGTTTAGCCTATTACTAATTACCATTAAGTAATTTTTGTAATGTATATTTAGTTAGCATGTTATGGAGTATTCATTTCCAAATTGCTATGGACGAACGAATAAAAAGGGGGAAAGAAAATTAATATAACATTTTCGTTCCTCCAAAGCAATTTGACATACTATGTGGAAAGAAGATTTTACAAGTCTGATCACCTTGTAAAACTTCTTTTTCCATAGGCGGTTGGTGTAATGGCACTACACGCGATGTGGTAAAATCTTACATGGCAACACTTATGTTGCCCAAAACAATAAGATTACATCGCGTGTGTTGTCAACACTGCCGAGCTTACGATCCACATTCGTTCTAGAAGGTGTATCGTAGCTCGGCTTCCAGGAAGCCATTTTGACTCGATACTCGCCTTTCAACCTGACCGGTCATATAAGTACAATAAAATTTAATTAACGTTTGTGAAAAATTAAAACAAGTATTTTTATTTTTTCAAACCGAAAGTAGTACTCGCGTGTGTACACTATTTTTATTATAAACATAATTCACTGCTTTACCGTGGAAACTCGGAGTGTTGTAACTCCATGTGTAGTGCTGCTACCCATACCTGGCATAGCGGAGCCCCAGTTGGAACCGGAGCTGTAACCCGGCGTTTTAAAGGCGTTTCATTGCGCAACTGGGAGCGCAACAGTGTATATTACTTATGCCGCAGATACGCATATATCAACAGCACATTTAAGTCAAGTCCAAATTTTAAAAATAATAAAATATTCAGCTAGTATATTATATTGATCTTTGCTTGTACATAAAAGAGATTTGATTTTAAGAGTGAAATTTGGAAAAGCCTTGCATGTATTTTAACAGTTTTAAACACTTTTCTTAACTTATACAAAGAAAGCGACAAAAAGAAAATTTGTATACAATGGCCGTTGATTAAAATATAGGAAGATAGAACCGCTGAGAGACACTTAGGGCCGGTTACTCAATGTCTGGTTAACACTTATCT